CAATTTTCTGGTTTAGTAGTCTCGGAGATTTCTATGACTCTGTTAGCAACAAATGTCTTTAGTTTGCTAGGGTTGGTGCGTAACCAGCCCAGCACTACGCTAGAATCGCTCCAATGGACACAGCGTGAAATCTTGCACCGAAGGGACTCGAGAACAGATTTGCACAGCCGAGCAGCTAGCAACGCTCCAAGCAATTCCAAACGAGGAATCGTAGTCGGCTTGCTGGGATTAACCCTAGATTTGGCGCATAGCAATCTAACCACTACCTGTCCATTATCATTGCCGGACCGCATATAGAGACAACAACCATGTGCTGTAGCAGATGCATCACAAAAGGAGTGTAGCTCCAGGCTAACAGGTGAGTCGCAAAGGGCTAACCTGGGAACCTGAGCGAACTCTAACTTGCTCAGGTCCTGTTTTAACTCATCCCATGTTTGCTGCAAGTCACAAGGTACTGGTTCGTCCCAGCCAATGCTGCGACGCCATAATTCCTGCATGAGTACCTTAGGTCGGATTGTACAAGGGCTGATAAGGCCTAGGGGGTCAAATATTTTAAATGAATGTGAAAGTATCAACCGTTTCGTTATATAATCACCTGTCTGATCTGGAATGCTTACCACGATATTCAAGGTATCAGTGGAAGGCTTCCATTGCAATCCTAAAATGCTAGTAGATTCGCTTAGCGTTAAATTTTCTTGTGGGTCTATCAGGGCACTTTCGAAAATTGAAGGTACGTTAGATTTGAATTTCCGCAGTGGAAAACAACCTGAGCGTAAAACGGATACGACTGTATAGAAAATATGACGCAAATCCGGTATAGAATCGGCTCCCGTCAAGAGATCGTCCATATAGAAGTCGTGTTGGATGATCGTCTTTATGAGATCATCCCCACATTCTTCACCCAAACGCCATAGACATTTAGTGCTTAGGTAGCTAGCGCTTGCGAAACCATAAGTTACCGTATTGAGTCTCAAAGTCTGCAGGGGACTATGTTCATCGCTTCTCCAGAGAATGAGTTGCAAGTTGCGGTCACTTTCGTGGACCTGAATTTGGCGAAACATCTTTTCAATATCACCTGTCAAGACGTATCGGTACTGACGGAAACGTAACAAAATGGAGAACAGAGTGTCTTGAATCGTGGGACCAATATATTGCAAGTCGTTGATTGAAACACCAGACGACGTAGAACACGATGCGTCAAACACCACCCTTAGTTTGGTTGATTCGCTTTGTTCCTTAATGACAGCATGATGACTCAAGAAATAGGACGGCTCCACTCGTGGTCCGCTTAAGACTGTGCAGTGCCCTAACATGATATATTCGCTAATGAATTTAATGTATTGAGCCTTGAGCTCGGGTTGTGCCCTAAAACGTTTCTCCAGGTTTAAAAATCTTTTCCTGGCAGTGATGTACGAATTTCCCAAGCAGCTAGGTGAGTCCTTGAGGGGTAGGCGCACGCAAAATCTGCCTGCGGAATCTCGAGTTGTATGAGCCTGGAAGTGTTCCTCACAAGCCTTTTCATCGGGGCTTAATAATTTCTTTGGCGAGGCTTCTTCCAGCTCCCAAAATCGAATAAGCAACTTGTCGAGATTGTCTGCTTGAGGACTTACAACTTGGAAATTGCAATTTAAGTTAGAGGGCCGAGTTCCTATATAAATGGGGCCAGAAAGAATCCAGCCGAACTCTGAATTGATTAGGTAAGGTTTGTTTGAACCTAAAGATCGACGTTCGCATCCTACGATGTGCCAAAATAGATCAGCGCCGATCAATACGTCAATTGGTGACGATTTATGAAAATTTGTATCGGCTAACTGAACATCGGAAGGAATGTTGAGGTTGTTTGTATTGATTGATAACCTTGGGATGTCACCTGTGAGTTCCGGTAGTACCGGACATGTCAACTTCGCCACATAGTCACTGTGCAAAGATTTCAAATGAAACGAACAAACTTTGTTTGTACAGTGAGAAGTTGCATTGCCTATTCCTATTAAGTTAATAGGCTCCACCGGTGTTGACTGTAAATCTAATTTATCTTGCAACCCCTTTGATATGAGGCTAGACTCCGCGCCGCAGTCTAATAAGACGCGCACGATTTCAGATTTATTATTAACTGGATTAACCGCCTCGACCAAGGCTGTGGACAGAAGAGTAACCTTATTGACATTATCTCTAGCTAAGTTAACAGTGAGCTCTGCTGCTGGAGGAGACACATTTTCTATTGCAGGTGCAGCATTGCCCTGAGGGCATGATTGTTTACCGTTGCTACAAATTAAGGAATTGTGACGCCTTTTACATTTGCGACAAGATCTCGCGCGACAGTAATATACGTCGTGACCCCTACGGAGGCAGTTGCGGCAAAGCCTTAAATTAGTCACTAGCGCCTGTCGTTCTTCAATAGTTTTACTTTTAAAATTCTCGCAATCATAAATTCGGTGTGTGCCTTTACAGACCTCACAAGTGGGAGCGTGACCCTTAACAGTCTCAATCCGCTCAGATATTGTGGCAGCAAAAACGTTGGCCTGTGCCCGCTTCTTCTTATTAAAATTATTTAATTCACTATTTGTATTACCGCTTGACCTTGGATGGTTGTAAGTTTCAAGAATGTCAGCACGGTCTTTAAGAAACTTATTAAACTGTTCAAGAGAAGGAGTGTCAGGAAGCGAATTTCTGAACTCTTCCCACTTCATACTAGTTTGACTTGCAAGTTTTGAAGAAACTATATGAATTATTAAAGTGTCCCAATATGTTGTGGGCTCACCAAGGCTTGCAAGTGCACGCAAATTCTTATTAATGTTATCTACTATAGACCTAAGCACCTTATCAGATTCACTTGACTTAATATCAAAGTTCAATAATGAATTTAAATGACCTTTAATTAACAAACGTTTGTTATCATAGCGCTCGCACAACAGGTCCCAAGCTTTATTGTAATTCGCTTGAGTTACTTCGAGGTTACTGATTACTCGTGAGGCCTCACCTTCCAGATAAGAGTTTAGATAGCAAAACTTGATCGGAGCAGGTATGAACTTGTTATCATGAACTAGTGAACAATAAAGATCTCTGAATTCAAGCCACTTGTTATAACTCCCATCAAATTTTCCTATCTGCAATGTAGGGGGCCTAAAACCTAGACCAGTCTGCTCATGGCAACAATGGGAGGAGCCGCCAACTTCTACCTTAGAACTGCTTGCTTGAGTGGTTTGAAATAGTTGAGCCGTAGCTATTAAAGTGGCAAATTCTAACTCAATGGAGTCACGCTCCTCAAGCTCCTCATCTAAATTTGTTGGATTCAATACCTCAATCTGACCTTGTATCTCTTCAAAGGCTGTACATAAACTTTCAATCTTACCTAACTGAATATTCAACTTAGCAACTTCTATCTCGTCTACAGATGTTAATAATTTATATTGATTTATAAAATTTTTAAATTTAGTAAGACGTCCTTTTATTGAGCTTCGTTTTAAAATAAGTTCTCTCAGTTTAACTTCAGACATGATTGTATGTTTGCATTAACAATACTAAATTATAAAAAATTGCCTTACTTCAATCTCCGGGGAATCTGATATTCTGATCTAAGCAGGTAGCCTTACCCGAGCCAGTTAAATAAGGAGAAGGGACAGAAAGTATCAAGCCAGCTTTGTTTTCTGAAATTGATAAATGTAGGATGATAGAAAAAATACCTAACATAAAACAAATATAACAATAATATGTAAAATACAAATACTAATTATTTATCCTTATTTTTAGATGTAAGTTATAATATGTTAATGCAAATAGATTGATAATATAAATTTGAAACACTTTAATTAATAATTATCTTTACTCTTGCTTTTAGATATAAATTTTAGATATGAATTATTTAGATGTGAATTATATATGTAACTACTGTATCTATATTGTCGTTTTAGAATGTAAATTATAATATATTATGATTATATAAATATGCTTTATGCTCGTAATTGTAGAAAATTGTAGTCCTTTGTACCTATTAAACATAAAAACTGAATATTTAATTTATATGATTCTTTTGTTCGGTAACCTGTAAAATTTGGTTAGAGATGCTAGGTACCTGTTGAGGGTTATTATTATTATTGCATACACAGAATGGAGTCTATACTTGGAAGGAATTGATTAGTAGTGTAGTGGGAAAGGCAGGGACACTTAGCTGGTTGGTCGACTGAAGAAGTGTTGTGGATTCACATCCACAATGCTGCTGCTTGCCCATGTAAGATGTTGGATGCTGAAGGGTTTCTCTTTCTTGGAAGTCGCTTCTTGGGCCCAGGTGCTGCGATGCTACTTATTGACCGGCACGTGGTTGGCCCAATGTGTCTATTTATATGTAGGAACTTAATCGTCCTGTCACGGTCGCCACTTGTTTATTAATAAAACAAATTTGGAAGCGACAAAACCAATATTTAATTCTACAATAACAATTTTAACTTTTTTAACATTAACAATTATTTAATGTCGGCGTGGAGTCCATTAATTAGAAAAAAGGTAAGTGCGGATATGGAAGTCTATTTTTTTACAGGGTTGCCATAGATCACGTAACACAGATAATAATAAATGTCACTACACACACTCTGCAAAGGGCGCGTACAGCTATTAATCTAAAATCTATGTATTTTATAGTTATTAAAAATATGTATATTTATAACAATACTAGCAGTATCCGTGGCATTGATCGCATTTAAAATGGCGATCGCTATCAAACTTCACCAAATAGAAGATTGCCTGAAAATTTCATCAAAATCGCTCCAGCCGTTTTGCAGTCCGTAGGGATATTATTTATTACTTGCACACATCCACAATATAATATATAGATTGCAGCTATAATAAAACGATATCATTAAAAAGTCTTGTATTTATCAAAAATAAAAGTAAAAATCAACCAATCATTAGCTACTATTATCTTCCCTTACAAAACTAAATATATTTATACTTATAGGTACTTTAAAATGTGACTTCAAATGTAAAAAGTAGCTTCTATCTTCCACCAGGCTGCACGAGGAGATCGAGCACTTCTACATGTACATGTCGCCCACGGAGACGGAGCACCTGGTGCGCTCCACGGTGGTGAGCCGCATCCGGGGCGCGATCCTGGCGCTGTGGCCGCAGGCGCGCGTCGAGGTGTTCGGCTCCTTCCGCACCGGCCTCTACCTGCCCACTAGCGACATCGACCTCGTAGTTATAGGTGAGTGCAGGAGTGCTATCCAACTTTTGTATAAATATGGACCAAAAGGCAACAATCGTTTGGCAAATAACAGCGTTGGAAAAAAAGAAGAGTTGGGAGAGAGAAAGAGACTCAATACTCTCTTACTTCTTACTCTCTTTTAAATTTTCCTTCCTTTCATTCTTATTTACTGCAAGTAATGCTTATAATTTGTGGTGTGTCAAACATTTTGTTGCTTTTACGATGCGATACTTTAATCGCAATAGTTAGACTTTATTTTTCTGAGATATTTAGAAAATGGATAGTCATTGAATCTTAGTTTAGATGTTTTCGAGATTGACAAATTATTACAAAAATAAAAGAATATTCAATTATATACAAGTTAGATCAATTTTATTGTAAGCTTTAGAAGCTACAATTGCTTACTAGTAAAATTGATAACCTCGACATAATGAGAAGCATGCTCTCTAAACATGGCAGCGTATCGCTAGAACTGTTTCGAACAAACTATGTAATTATAATGTTAAACAAAAATGTTTATCGTGTGAAGTGTAAACTAAAATACCTTTTACAAATGTGAAGACGACTGCGTCTCCTTCATATGAAGGAGACTTCATATGCGGTTCGAAAATGTTGTGCGTTTAATACCTAGTATTAGAAGTCGATTATTGATTTTTAAATGTATTGCCTGCATATTTGGACCTTAATTATAATATAAATATAAATACTTGTAGGCACTACAGAAAACATGAAAGATTTTTATACATTTCACTAGCATTGCCCGCGGCTCCGCCCGCGTTCAGATGACCAAAAACAAAATTCTTAGGTTTTACGTATTAGTATACTCTTACAATGCAGTTTTTGTATTTTTTCTCAGAAATGAGATATTTTCCCGCGGTAAAAAGTATCCTATATGTTGACCCGGATAACCAGCTATCATCATACCAAATTTCATCAAAATCTGTCCAGTGGTTTTCTCGTGATGCGGTAACAGACAGACAGACAGACAGACAGACAGACAAAAATTCTAAAAACTATAGATTCGGACTCTGTATCGGTAATAATGTCTATTTCAATTAGATTTTCCAAAAAATATTTAATGTACAGATTCGACTTAGTTACAATTTTATTATATGTATAGATATAGATTACTTCCGGTCGCTATCAAAATAGCCACTAGACAGTTTCTTTTAACTACTAAGGAAAGTGGGCACTTCACTGAGCGCAGTTTCTTATAACTTTTAATAAGCAATACTGTTAGTCCTCAGAGAGTTGAACTAATATTTGATCGCTCGTAATCTGGCGCGTTGTAGCTCGGGAGTGGTGTAACAATCGAAGGATTTCAACTATAGTTTAAACTCAAGCTTAAAGTTTAATTATATAAACTTTTATAATGGCAACTTTAAGTTTTCTTTGTTTTTAGCTAGTCATCACCAATTTGAATCAATCTATTCTTTAACAATATTTTCAATGACAAAATTATTATCTCTGTCCATCTTGCTTGGTTGGACTTTGTTTTCATGTATGAAACAGTTTTGATAAAATTGACTACAGTTTTAATTCATTTCTATTTCAAACTGTAAGAAAAAGGCTCTTTATTTAAACCATATGATGTGAAATGGTATGAAAAAGTCGTGAAATGCGAAAATCATATTATTTAATGTGTACATGTACAGTTTGTAATGTCAAAATAACACCTTTTCACATAATTCATATGAATTCTACGCGACATTGGCGAAGTAAATGGTGTCAAACTGGCACTCCTGGAAGCCACTACAGAAAAAAAATTGAATTGTAATTCATATGAAAACGGTACTTATAAGAAAAACAATTTTTAATATTTTTGTCTGTCTGTCGATTGTGACGTGACGATCACTGGCAAATAGCTGGTGTTATAAGGATGCTATAAGGAGAGGGTCCAGTTCGAAAAATTAAAAAGTACCTATGGACGCACCTGAGCGAAGCGAGCATAAGTCGCTAGTTTTTATACAAGTAAAAAATATATTCATCAGAAACCTGTACGCGTACGCTTATAAAAATTCAATTAAACGCGTTAATATAAACATTGTTGTCACAGGTTTTATTTAAAACAAATATAGGTACAAGTGTAAACCTCTGCGAAGCGTTCTGTTTACACTTTTATATGCTTTTACATAGTGTTTAAATTTTAAAGTAAATAAATAATTGTCAAGTAAAATTTAGCATATTGTCTTAGAAAATGAGGATTTGGACAAACATACGCTGACACACTTACCAATATTGATAATGAGTGAGAAATGTGCAAGTAATGGTTCCGGTAATTTTAGGCTTCTGTCTTCTGATAAGATTGGCCGACGTCGTGTGCTCGGCGGGTACTAGGTGCCTATTTACCTAGAACTAGTTTATCCACAGTTTATCGTGTCGGCCGACACGTGACCACCACGTTTGGCATCTTTTGTAGTTTAACTCGAATCTCATTCTTAGATATACTACTTAAATGTAAATTGTCCGGGGTCAATATAGATAAAATCATCCATTGATTTTCTTTAGAGACTAACATTTTTATGTTTTTTTTTTTCAAAACTCAAGTTTTCATTATTGTTTATGATTCTACTTACCCATAATCACATTGCAGCGTGAAAATAAATTTATTTTTAAAATTTATCTTGTGCAGATAATTATAATTGAACAAACGACATTGTAGTTTATTGTATACTAGTAGAACCCGCGGCTTCGCTCGCACTAAAACTACAAAATATATCTAAAAAGGTAGTTTCATACAAACTTTCATCCCCTATACCCCCTTATAGAATGAATTTCAAAAATGCTAAAGTACGTATTTATTTAATTTTATTGAAGAGCATTAATAATAAGTTTCATATAATTCTTATCATAAATATTTTTTTGGATTGTATTATAACGTGTTTTCCCGTGGGAATGAGATAATCTCTCACGGTAAAAAGTCTCTTCAGCCCTCCAACTATCTCCACACAAAAAATCACGTCAATCCGTCTCTCCGTTTCGACGTGAGAGAAGGGCAAGCAAACAAACAAACACACTTTCACATTTATAATATTAAAGTATGGATTTAACATTTTATAACTTTCTGTTTATCTTTCATTCATCGAGTTATTTGCGCAGATGGTTTGTGAAAGATGTTTTATATTCTTGATTATGAATATTATGTAGTATATAATTTTATCAGCCGACCGGGTCTTTGTGTCGACTTTGGCGTGTGTTGCTATCGTGACACCGTCTCTCTTATCTTTTCTATTTTTGCCAGTACCGGCGCCGGCTTGATCAGCAGGTCGGTTAGTATTTGGATACAGAATACAGAATCTGTAATTTACTACTAATATGTAATTTTTACTTAGGTGCATGTATGTCTGCCCGTCATGCCATGTGGTATGGTATGGTATATTCGGGTTTGTTTCCGTAACTCGACGTCTGCGCGCCTATTTTACGTGTGTGGGAAATTTTCCATTCGTGTTATTCTTGCCAACCCAGTCCCTCCAGGAATTTCAGCAATCTCTTCGTCTTGCTGAAAACCTCTGGGAGTGTACTAGGGGTGCCAAGGTGTTGGGTACGCCGATACACCTGGACATATAAAATTACATGTGCAGCCGTTTCATCTGCTCTCATGCAGGCCCTGCAGAGTGGGTGACAGCTCTGCAGGGCCTGCATGAGTAAAACTGACAAGTTATACCTAAATTAAATAATCCGTCATGCCATATCATCCTCAAACCTGCGCGCGAGTCTTTGGGTGTTTAAGATATATTATTCTGATGTAGGTAAATATGTACCTAAATTTTGGTGTATACATACATAAGTACGCACGTAGGTACGTATACTTACATGTATATTGCACCTATATGTTACTTTACACTTAAGTGAAGCTAGCACGTTTCGCTACTTATCTATTAAATCCTTTGGAGGATGACACTTGAATGACAGGTGTTATAGAAACCTGTTCGATTTGTCTGTCTTTTTATTAAGGATGCATACACTCGGTGAATTCATAAAATCTGGTTTATCAATATTCGTTATTGACATATAAATGTCGCCGACTGACCTTTTACTTTATTCCTATTTTGTGAAGAGAATAAATAATATGCTGTAAGATAACGTTCTGGTTTAAATATTTTAGATTTGCTATTATTTAATTTCGAGCGATCTGGAAAAAGTTCTACATATATATTTCCTGATAACTTAAAAAAAAACAAAAGAATTTAGGATGAATTTTGCACTATTCACTTCGCAAATGGTAATCATGTTGGAGATGAAGCACACATGTAAATATTCAAGATCCCTGTTTGAAACCGCATCTCTTGGTTTTCCAAGCGAGAGCGTGCTAAAATATTAAATATTAATGACCAACATCTTTTACTGACCCCGGATGCAAAAAGAGGAGTGTCATTAGTTTAACTCGGGACGAACCCGAACGAAGCGAGAGTGAGTCGTTAGTTTTCTATAAATGTAATACATATACTCGTACCAGAATATATTAACTCATCTTTATCTCTAGCAGAAACAACAGGACATTCATACTTTCATTTTACCTCCTTCAACATTTATTTTCTCGACAAAAAGTATTATTAGCTTATGCCGTTCTCCAATGTCCCATCTATCTCTATACCAAAATTCATAAAAATTGGTTCAACGGTTTAGGTGTAACGTAACAGAAAGACAAGCGATTCGTCCCTAGATAAAAACAAATTATCTCACGGGAACTGTACATTTTTCCGGAATAAAAGTAACTTATGTGTTATTCCAGACCATAATCTATCTTTGTGCCAAATTTCATCCAGATCCGTTCAGCTGTTCTGGCGTGATGGAGTAACGAACACTCTCACAAACTTTCACATTTATTATATAATCGCGGGTCACCATCGCTTCGCTCGGGTTCACCTCTAGAGAAACAAAAACGAACCTTTCCCACCGGAACTGTAAATTTTTCCGGGATAAAAAGATATAATCTATCTCTATGCCATCAAAATCCGTTCAGCCGTTCTGGCGTGAAAGAGTAACAAATATCCATACTCACAAACTTTCACATTTATAACATTAGTATAGAAGTACCTATGGATTAAGTATGGGTATGGTAGCAGCCCGATATATTATGTACTTACATATTAAGTCTACGCAATTGTATACAATTGTTAATGAATACTGTTACAATAGCTAGTGTAAGTAAATAAATCCTATTACGCGTGATGTTCCAATATAATTAGAGTCCTCGAGAGTCGGCGACGTGAATCAGCAGAATATATTAGTCCTGATTGAAATTATGCGGCAGACTGAATGGCGTCAGCGTGTGCACCGCACCGTACACAGCCTGTTTTAATCTTTAAAATATAAAATCGAAATATATATGTAAAACTAGCATTGCCCGCGGCTCCGCCCGCGTTCAAATGAGAAAAACCTAATTCTTAGGTTTTATATATTAGTATACCCTTACAATGCAGTTTTTGTATTTTTTCTCGGAAATGAGACATTTTCCCGCGTTAAAAAGTATCCTATATGTTGACCCGGATAACCAGCTATCACCATACCAAATTTCATCAAAATCCCTCCAGTGGTTTTTCCGTGATGCGGTAACAGACAGACAGAAATTCTAAAAACTATAGATTCGGCCTCCGTATTGATAATAAAGTCTATTTCAATAAAATTTTCCAAAAAATATTCAATGTACAGATTCGGCTTAGTTACGATTTTATTATATGTATAGATGATAAGATCGTCGTAAAACTGCATATTTTCATCATTAAATAATATACGAGATATTTAACGAAATTTAAAGATTGAATGTTTTATGTAGAGTGGGATGATATCACGAAAAAATAGTTTTATATTTTGCAACATGTTTGTTTATCTGTCTACTTCATACTGCGATACGTCTGAGGTTTATAAAGAAGTTTTTCATGCCCCTAGAAATTGAAAGTTTGCTAAAACTTCACATACACTCTATTTATTTGGGCATAAAGTTTTAGTGACAAGTACAACAAGTAGTACAACAAACATGTAAACACATGATTATGCCTGATCGATTATATTCTAATGAATTTAATGTACATTAGTGGGAGGGTCTCCACTCTCTAGGCATGTGACCCGGTTAGTGCAAGTATATGTATTTGGAAGCCGCGCCCACCGCCAGCTCCGCGCTGACACACGTATATTTATTCTATTTTGCTAACGCACTAGTATTGCGAAACACCAAAGGTCTTATTATAAACGATCTGTAATTATGACACCTATGTCACGCATTAATCTTTCGATGTGAGTCAGTTTTATTACGCAGTATTTTGTTACGCACAAGGTAACAATCAGCTTTAAGTCTTTACGAGCATTTATTTAACTAGTTTGGTTCATATGTCTGTATAATACCTATTAAATTGGCAAACACGGTACACTTATGCCGGTTACAGTACAATAATATGGTATCATCGAGCTGATCTGGTAATGGCCAAAAGTTAACTAACTATCAGCTCATTGGCTGCTACGATTAGAAAACAAATATTTTTAAATCGTTTATTTTTTTCCTGATTTTCATAATAGGTTTTTAACATTTAGTTGTTTTTAAAGCTAGCTATATAGCTTTAAAAGGTAGTTTCTAAATTTCTATATATGTTTTATATTTTGGTTTTCAGTTTCGTAAAACTGGTTCAATTACTTCACTGCTTAAATTTGCTAAATAACGTGAAACATTATACCTACTTTGGCATAAATATAAAATCTTGGCATCATCTAACTTGCCTTTATATGATTGAAGTGAAAGCAAACATTTCGGCACGTTGTTTATATGCTGACATATAGTGTAGTATGTAGTGGACGTCTATTTATACGCGGCAGATGACCAGCGACCTTCGCGCAGTGATTGGAGTAACGTCACACCAATAGCCGTGACTAAGCGGAGCGATGGGGGCATCCCTTATTATAGTCTATGATCACAAGAACTATTCTATCTCACTCTCTTAAATATTAAGCTCTTTTCAACGTCCCACTGCTTGGCATGAGCCTCCTCTCAACAAGAGAAGGATCATAGTACACCATAGGGGACCATAGTCTATAGCTATACTATGGTACCATATACTAAATAACCATAGTCTATACTATGGTACCATATAATAAATATAGGTACCATATACTAAATAAGTGCAAGTTGGCAGACTTCACATCTATTTCGAAAACTTGCTAGGTACTCTTAGACATGCAGACGCCTACTAAAAAAAAACGAACGAAACATTTATGAATAAATCTTGGGAATTTTTGATGAGAAAGTATTTTTAATTTTTGAATGCGATTTTCTGAATGAATCTAAAGTCCGACCGTAAGAAACATTAATATGCACACTGTTCTGGCAGTACTACAGTGTATTTATAGAACGGTAAGTAGATACGATAAACGTACAATTATAATGCTTTATTTATCGTTTGTTGAGTAGAATTGAATCTTTTATGATATAATTTCTTGTAACAGAAAATTCTATTGTCCGAAATATTTACTAGTTGACAATAACAAAGCCACAGTAGCAATTTGCGTAATTACAAGTTAAGATATTTGACAAAACATGAACACACCGAAGTTACGGACAACGAGTCTGATATGAACAACTCTAAAGCAACTTTGTTGAAAGATGACAAACAAACGAGAGGAAGTTGCGGCCAGAATGAGGAAGCTATTACCATTGACTGGTATAAACTACGCTTTGAAAATTTTCCCTCAAGGTCTGACTTGTTTACAATGTTGTTCCGGATTTCCTTCTCGGCTGTTGTAGACGATATTTATTTATTAACACAATATACAAATTTAAAGAGTTTGTTTGGTGATTTCTTACTTCTTAATAAAAAATACAGGCATGAATACGAATATATTAAATAATTTCGCTTCTAAGAGATAAATTATAGAATAAATGATCCAATTAAGGGTCTAAGTAAGCTCGCAAGGGGTGGGCCGCTGGTTTATATTTCTGCATTGAAACATCTAATCATAGCATCTTGGTTTAGGTCAATGGGAGAAGCTGCCGCTGTGGACGCTGGAGCGCGAGCTGGTGGGGCAGGATATTGCTGAGAAGGAGAGTATCAAAGTGCTTGAAAAGGCCACTGTTCCCATCGTTAAGATGACCGACAAATACTCAGATGTTAAGGTATTTAAATAACTTTCCATAAATTATGATTTAAACTCCATGGGGTTTTTCTATATTTCATCAGATTTTAAGAGTGCAACCAAAATAAATAAGTCTATTTATAATAACTTAAAATACAATCTAATGGCGTGTGGAAGACGGGACGGGAAATGACGGGACTCCTGTACTGCGTAGTGTTTTTATACTTAATACGATAAAGAATTAACTATCGTTTATGCTACACTTAAAATATAAATAATTATTTAAATTTATATAATGATACCAGTATAATATTTAAGTTTAGATGAGTCCGCATAACGTAATTATATAGATATATAGAATCATTAAATTCGGTTGACACCAAGCAAACCTGTGACGAATAAACTGAAAGCTCTAAATTCGTATACAAAATACTTTCCCTTAAACTCATATTACATTTAAGTTACGTGTCAATATGCAAGTTCGTTGATGAGTGTACCTAATACCAACAACATATCGAACCTAAACCAAACCTATATTGAACCATCTATCGAAGACCAGTACCAGGCGCTCGTCTAACCCGTTTCTAATGAATATTCAGGTGGACATCTCGTTCAACATGAGCAGCGGTGTCAAGAGTGCGGAGCTCATCAAGCAGTTTAAGGTCAGTATGCCCGAGTCCCGGGTAAAGGTCACCCCTCAGCGCTGACATGCCCGCTCTGTCTCTGACGCTTTGTTGTGGGGCATGTTTATTATAGATTTATCTTGAACTAGCGACTTACCCTCGCTTCTTATTGGTATCGGATTCTTCTTATTGGTATCGGTTGGCTGATGTTGGTGCGCGTTTAGATTTTTTTGAGCTATTCTCTAATTCTTTTTCTGAAATAAAAGTAGCCTGAATTACTCCTTATAACATCAGCTATCTGCCAGTGAAAGCGCCGTCAAAATCGGTCCAGCCGTTTCAGAGATTAGTCGGAATAGACAGATAAAAATTTTAAAAGTTTCTTATAACTACCGTATATACTTTCATATGTATTTAGTAAAAGACTGTAATTTTTAATTTTATTTATCAGTTTAAATAAAACTGTTTTCTAAAAGACTATCTTTCTTTAGTGACCACGCTTGGTGTAAAGTATTTGAAACGACCGGGGACCAAAAACCAAATAAAACCATAATATAATAGGTAGATATATAGTTTTATTTATAATGTCAAATATCCGTTTAAATCGACATAAGTCTTAGTGTACATTAATTTTCATTTTTTTACAACCTTTTCTTTTCTGTATTCTATAATAATGATAATTATATATTAATTGTAAGAAATCTAGAATTAAAAAAAAAGTATGGTTTATTAAATGTGTTTAACCCATAAACTACGACATAATCTCTTTTCTTCTATCTGTGGTCGGATTATATGACCTACTTAGCTTCTGTATATTAAAAAAAAAGAAAATATTATCTTGTACCTACTGTCATTTTAGGACATCATATTCAAACTGACGCGTCTTTTGATACACGGCTCAACTGTGCTCCGATTCTTATCTTAATGTGTGTTCTAGCCTCTACGGCTAGACTTCATAATACCAGAGAATACATTGTGCAATATCAAACATTTTCTATTGAATAGTTAGCTTGGAATAAAATTGGTATAAATTAAAAAAAAAAAACTATTGTAAAATTACTGTCCCGCGGGAACCTCTTGACGGAATGAAGTCATTTCCAGTTTTTGATTATATACCTAAGCGTAAAAGGGAAAAAAAAATAAGTTCCATTCTATACCATAAAATATCTGCAAAAATTTTAGTGTAGCATTCAGTTATTCAATATGTCACTTTGTTGATTTGACAGTGGTCGGGGATTCGGATTCCAACGTGAAATCTAAAATAAGCATTTAAGAAAGCAATGAATATAGTTGTTCATTACCAAAGACTGTTTTTCTGGAAATCCTTCTGAGCTGTTTTTAGTAGGTACTTATATTATTATGAAGGAACGAGACCAGACTAATGAGATAAGTAAAATTGTTATTTGTAGTGTCCGGGCGAGGTTTAGGCTCCGCCGCGTTGGAGGCTTCGCATTATTTATAAATATATTAAATTATTATGTCTCTACTGTGTAATTAAAACTTCAGTGTAAAAATTAAGTAATGTAATTAATTTAATTAAATATTTTATCAAAAATGTTGTACCTGATGGCAATGTTTAGGGTTTTTGTTTTATGTGTCTGCTTGTCGGGATATCTTTGGAATCATATAAATATATTTTCTCTATTGGACAGTTAATCTGCTGTAATCTACTGAGATTTAAAGTTAGATTAGTATGTTAAGTACCTGCATGTAGGAAATTATAATATGTACCTACTACTTATCTTTAATTATTACTTTGACTCATGTTAGTTAACGTTGTTTGAGAAAATAAGTCGATAAAAAACTGCAGCAGAGTATCAAACTATCGTATTGAACTTTGTCTAGGTTTTGATCAAACGTTACGTTGAATAAATAGAACAAAAATCTTGAACATTTGAGGTGTTATTTTTCTTTAAAATGTGATCACTCTTGAGTCTCGAGGCAGCCTATACAAATCGTTCAACTCAGTTCCCTACGCAAATTTAGCGTGACACGTAAACAGAAAAAAACGGTCAAGTGCGAGTCGAATTCGCACACGAAGCGTTCCATACCATCTGACATGATGTACTTTTTGTTAATATGACTTTTACTCTATGCATGTAGTAATTGACTTCGATGACAGATTATGAACGTGGAAATAATGTTTTTTCTATGTTTATTTTTACTATTTTTTATTATTTGTTGTTATAGCGGCAATAGAAAAACGTACTCTGTGAAAATTTCAATTCTCTACCTATTAAGGTTTATGAGATACAGCCCTCCTAGAGACGGACAGACGGACGGATGAACAGCGGAGGCTTGGTAATAGGGTTCCGTTGGCACTCTTCGGGTACGGAACCCTAAAATGTGCCAAATACAGAATAGAATAGTCTATCTCCTCTTTTTCGGTTACAATTTCGACTAAAAGCAATATGCAGATGTGAACGGAGCGTGGCATTCCGTGTCACCGTATTAGGGAGTTTATTGAGCCTACCAGCGACCGGTCCCCGCTTGGCCTGTGGGCCTTTTTTATTTTATCTTTTCTGAAACTATACTTATGTGAATAGCAATAATACTAAGTTTCAAGTTTTAGTCTTTAAAAAAGTAATTTTCGCCTAACTTGTGCTAAAGTTTATGCCATTTCTTAGGGAGTGAATCTTAAAAACCTTTTTGTGTGCAGTTTGGTATCGTTTGAAGAGACAGTCAGTCATGAAACATGTATTTTATTAGATGTTAGATGAACACTGTACGGTGTATCCAAGTCCCGAGTTGATGTAGCGATGTCTGCCTGCTCGAGCAGCTTCGGTGCGTCACAATATCCCCGACCTTGACATTCCGGTAGCACTTGAGCAAATACTTTTGATTGTTACATCACTGCCCCGATGTACGATCGTTCAAACATGCTCCGTACGTAACGAATTTATGTTATTTAGTCCCAACTCCCACCTTCTTAATATGTACATATAGTTTATGAGATGAGTTCTTGGCAGATTGTGTTCGTATAATGCTTAGGTTGTATAGAAACAACAACAATTTTTAGAATTTTTTTTGTTTGTTCTGTACTTAAATGAACATTCCGTTTGAATTTTATAATTAACTGACGTTTCCGTTCTGTTTCGTCACGGATTTTACTTATGTATAATTGTTATTTGCTCCGCTGCTAAGGGTTCACATCAACCCCTATAATAGGGTCCCTATTTTAAACTTCCAAAGGATGTGCCTGTTAAAACAGTGAATTAAAATAGTCATTTTTAAAACTTTTAGGGGTTAAATTTCCAAAAAATCCTTATATAGCCGATATGAGTCAATCTACTACATTTTCTTTTTTATGTGGGATAGATTCGTTTCTGTTTTTCTGTAACAATATATTTTTTGGATCTGATTTGTTTTGTAGATGATGGATTTGCAAAGAACAGATACACTACTCGTATACAATTGTTATATAGGTACATGACGTTTTATATTCAATTACATTTCTTTAGGGTTGTTAGATTAACGTATTCACCCGGAGTTTAGCAAGGTCACATCCAATTTATGGACCTGAAGCTAGCGGCCGACTAGCAGCCGGCCACCTGACGAATTAAACAAAGGGCCGCAACGGTATCGCGGCGTCAAAAACACATGTTATTAAAAATAAATACGCTACAGATGCAATTAAATATTACTTTTTAAATATTTTAAATACAATAATAGGAATGTATAGTGTTTTATATAATTTAATACCAAATTTTTAAATTCAGTAATGTTCGTGTCCGTTCTTAGCGTAAAAGGTCATTTAAGCCATGAAAAACTAGAAAGCATGCTTGAATCTTGCTGATTTTTTTACTGAAGCTTTCTATAATATGTATTTATTCAAAATTATACAAATTTTGCAGAATTAACCACTAAAAGTGTCATAAAAAAATTTATTGTTGCTATTGAGAGCGCATAATTGTAAAAACAACATTCAATTCCATAAAAACGATAGAAAGCAAAGTAGGAGCTAGTTGATTTTTTTATATATTATTGTACTTATATACACTAATAGAAAACCGTTTGAATTAGACAGGATCAAGCCGTAGTTTATTTGTAAAAAAATTTTTAATATTGCTTCCTGGCGCGTACTCATACTAATATTCAAACGTATGAAAATACGAGAAAGCAAACTCAGATCATGTTGATATTTTTACTATATATTCTTATAATATCAAGCAACTCAAAAATATTTGAATCTCGTAGGATCAAGGCATAAAATAGTTGTAATTTTTTTTTTAATATTCTCATACTCGCCTATACTAGTTTCTATGAAAAATTTAAAGTCTATGAAAACGATAGAAAGCAAACTGGGAGCTCGTTGATTTTTTTATATATTATCGTACTTACATATACTAAGCGAAACCCGTTTGAATTAGACAGGATCAAGCCTTAGTTTATTTGTAAATTTTTTTTAATATTGCCTCCTGGCGCGTACTCATACTAACATTCAAACGTATGAAAATACAAGAAAGCAAACTCAGATCATGTTGATATTTTTACTATATATTCTTTTAATATCAAGCAACTCAAAAATATTTGAATCTCGTAGGATCAAGGCATAGAATAGTTGTAAAATTTTTTTTAATATTCTCATACTCGCCTATACTAGTTTCTATCAAAAATTTAAAGTCTATGAAAACGATAGAAAGCAAACTGGGAGCTCGTTGATTTTTTTATATATTATTGTACTTATATATACTAACAGAAAACCGTTTGAATTAGACAGGATCAAGCCGTAGTTTATTTGTAAAAAAAAATTTAATATTGCCTCCTGGCGCGTACTCATACTAATATTCAAACGTATCAAAATACAAGAAAGCAAACTCGGATCATGTTCATATTTTTTTCTATATATTATTATAATATCAAGCAACTCAAAACTATTTGAATCTCGTAGAATCAAAGCATAGAATAATTGTAAAAAAATTTTTAATATACTCATACTAGCCCATACTAGTTTCTATGAAAATTTTTAAGTCCATAAAAACTATAGAAAGCAAACTAGGAGCTCGTTGATTTTTTTATATATTATTGTACTTATATACACT